GATCTTAGAGCTCGTCTTGCCGTGGTGGAGCAACATTTTAAAACATCCGAAGTCAAACTGATGGAGACCGAGAAGGCCTTATTGGAGGAAAAGGCTAGTCATGAAGCAGCTCGGAAAGAATGCGCTGAGACTCGCGAACTCGTGGGTAGGCAGCATGATGCACATCAGGCTGACATAGCCAAACTTGAGAAGGAGAAGTCTGCTTATGGAGAGTTCATGTACGAGAACGGGTTTCAGGCCGGGAAAGATTCGGTGATTGTGGAGCCGAAGTCCGGGGTTAATGCCGAGATGGATGCTGACGAGGCCGGCGAAGAGGATGAAGCCGGTGGTCCCGACCTCGAGATTGAGATGAATACGTGTTTAAATTTGAGGTGGATCATTGAGCGTTATGATGCCGGCTATTATGACATTGACGATCTTCGCTTATTCCTCTTCCATAAAGTGGAGAAGTACGGATTTGGCTCGGAAATTAAGGGAATGCATGTGGCGGCCGACGAAGACGAGCGGGAATTCTGTGTGTGGATGCTCCGCCGTTCAGAAGAAATGAATGCAAATCCAGATTTGCCACCACTGTCCGAGGAAAGGGCTGCTCTTCTCCGACGCGCGTATGTCAACATGATCTTGGAAGAGGAGAAGGAAAAGAGGAAAGAGTTGGCTGATGTGTATCTCTCTACGTTGGCCGAGGTGGAGGTCGAGCAGCACTTTGATGACATGACTCCAGAGCAAATCCAAAGCCGAGTTAAAGCATACCTTGAGGAGAAGGCGAAGTTGGCCGATAAGGATGTGGAGATTGTGAAAGTGGTCTCGCCGGTTGATGATGATGCAGAGAAACCGACTGATCCTCGTGACGATCTCATTCCGGTGCCAGATGGGGCCGTGGAAGCTGCTGCTAAGGCAAAGGAGTCGCAGGTCTTGGAGAGATTATCTTCTAGTTTTGAAGTCGGAGAAGGCAGCGGCTCCGGAGGCAATGTGGACAAACCGGCTGAAGATGCTTAGGATATTTTGCTTGTTTTTGTGTTTTTGAATGTTTTTCTCGAGGTATTTTAAGTTAGGTAATCGGGGTGTCGGCATGTCGGCATCCTTAGTAGGAAATATTTAAGAATGATGGTATGTAATCGGGGATGTTGGATAGCCGACTCCCTTAGTAGGAAATATGAAATGTTATGTAAGGGATTCCCGGAATTTCGAAATAATATATGAAGTGTTTGAATATATTTGATTGTGTTTATATGTTTTGCTGTATAAATTTCAGCAATTTTTTGACCAAGTGTTTCGAATTCGGTTTTTAGAAAGCAAACCGCTTCAACTCGAAATTACTTAAATCGTGATCCGAGTTGTAAGTTTTTATAAATATAACTTCCGAATTC